ACCAAATCATGTCAGGCACTGTACTAGCCTAGCATAATACCGCCACTTCCTGGACATAGAATTATCACGTTTTAACAAGATAATTATCACGTTTAAACGAGATACGTATCACGTTTTAACGAGATACGTATCACGTTTTAACAAGATAAATATCACGTTTTAATGAGATACGTATCACGTTTTAACGAGATACGTATCACATTTTAACGAGATACGTATCTCGTTAAAACGAGATACGTATCTCGTTAAAACGAGATACGTATCACGTTTTAACGAGATACGTATCACGTTTTAACGAGATACGTATCTCGTTTTAACAAGATACGTATCACGTTATAACGTGATAGCGCTCGGATTTTTTTTTTCCTGCCTGATAGCAACACGCTTCCGTAGAAGGAGGCTTGTTTATTTGTATTCTAAGACTATCTATTCCCCAACAAGAGGGGGCGCTCACCTGACAGCTCTGCTTAGTGAAATACTAATTTCTGTAAATAAGAGGCTGAAACACAGAGAAATATGTCCATAAATTAGTTGTATGATGACTGTCGCTCTGTGACCAAAGGCTGCAGAGATACTTCATGTGGTTTTTGGCCAAATAAGTCTCTTTTACTGAATACATGTCAGTTACTGCCTCCATTTTTCTCAATAAAAAGCAAAATAAGATAAATTTCATTCTATTAGTGTGTTGTACAGTTGTTGTTCTGTGAGAACAAAGGTTTTTTTCCTCCTGAGTTTTGACAAAATCTGTGCTTTTTTCTGTCAGTTCGCGTCCTTGGACTTTTCCTTTCAGTGAGGGGTGGGCGGTACTATGACTTTGATATTGATCTGATACCAAATAAATACTTTTCGAAATTTATTTGATACCAAAGTCAACATCAGTGCTTTTTACTTGTATGGGATGTTTATTGAATAACTTTGATATTGCAGGCACCACTTCTGGTGGTGAAAGAGTTTACTACAGTAAGTTGGCACGACCTGTCATGGATTATGAACAAAACGAGCCTTTTTTCGTTTCTGCCTTAAACTAATTTTCTTTTTTGTTATCTGAAACAGAAAATGAAACTCAAATCATTTTAAAAATTTCGTTCATCCCTTTTTGACACTAAGAACGAGAAACGCTTTATATTTTAAGCATTCAGCAAATGATTTCCCTCCAACTTATTTTCTGCAATATAGGTTTATACATAAAGCTCAAGTAGTTACTCTCATAAAAGCCTTATTTGTTTGAAATACCAGTCACCGACCAAAACCTGCCTCTTCACACTTCATCAACAACAAAGTAAATGTTTCTGCTGTGGTGCAATAATTTGTTCTCAGTCACACTTATATGATGTTCACCTGCATTATACTATGTACTGTACCAGCCCTTTAAACTCACCAGGAATACAGTTTGACAATCAAATAATTTCACAGAACAGAGAATTCAATTCAAGTGGGCCTGAAGCTCTATCCATTAGGCCCAGCAATCAGTACCCCCCCTTCCCCCCGGACCCCCAATTTATTTGAAAAAGGGGTGTCTGGACTTGCAAAAATGCTTATAACTCAGAAACTGTTCAACACAGGAGCTTCAGATTTCTTTTGTTGTTTAGCTCTGATGAAGCTCTATCCATCAGGCCCACCAATAAGTGCCCCCTCTTCCCGGACCCCCAATTTATTTGAAAAAGGGGTGTCTGGACAACCAAAAATGGTTATAGCTCAAAAACTATTAAACATAGGAGTTTCTGAGTTCT